CCTTTCATGCTCAAGGTAATGGACGAGTTGTTGGCTGCAATACCTGGTCTTACTGAGCATGCACAGATTTCAAATGTTGTTCTTGATTGTCGCCACGTCCTTTCAGACGTCTTGGCGATCTTAGAAGGGCCAGGCCATTAAAGAAGATGGCAGCCTGTTGAAACAATAGAATTTTGGCGATCCTGCGCTGTTGCAAGAGAGCTTAACTTTTCGTATTTAGTTGGATTGTTGTAGGTTGTCGCCGTCGATGTGAATGATATGCAAAAAGGTTTTGGGCTGTGACAGTTCTGTGTGGATCACTGTAAAAGCAATTTGTTGATTCCAGACTATATCTATATCATTGCAGTCGACACAACGTCATGAGTGTCTTTGCTGATGGGCAAAGCGAGTCAGCCTTTACAATTTCAAAGCTTTTCTGGGCAGTTGTACTGTTACTGCATCTTGCATCTTGTCATGTCGTGGCAAGCTTCGTGTTGATTTTGGAGGTTTCGAAAGAAGAGTATTCTTTTGAACATGTGTGAGTGTGGTTGGCAGTTTTGTTCAGCTCACTGTCTGCATTGCAGTTGATGAACGGTGCAAGGTTAATTTCAGAATTGGTCTGTCACATGGGCATGCTGGATTGTAGCCCTGGCTCCATTGTCTCCTACTTAGCTTGGTCTTGTTTCAGGCAGTGCACCACCGCCAGTGCCATGCTTGGACGGGCTTCGAAGAGACAGCGGCTTGCCACTGCGGCCATGTTCAACCCCATGATGGCTCATGCTGCTGCTTGGCACCCTTCATTGGCAGGTATGATGAACCCTTTTGCAGCCCATGGGATGGGAGCTCCCATGGATGAAGACTCGGAACCGGAGATCGCAGTGACTGCACCCACTCCTGGTCCTGCGCCAATAGCTTCCTCCTCTGCAGCAACACCGCAGGTCCCACCAGCGGGGGGGGTTCAGACAGTTGCACCAAGCCATCCGCATCCTGAGGGTGATTCGAGTCCAACTCCACATCCGAATGTCGCTGAGGTGGCTGCCTCACATGCTGTATCGCGTTTGACCCACAACAAAATGCATTTGTATGAGCACGGTGACCGCACTGATGAGTTGATCCCGCGCAGTGTTTCCTCTATCAGAGGAATGCCCAAGGTGCCTTCAAAGTTTGTTTTCAATGAACATGTTACTAGTGTAAAAAAGTCTGTGTGATGATTCACCTCACCAGGCTAGGTTTGTCTAAGTTTACTGACTCTGATTTCATGTTTCAAGATGAAGTCATCAGTCATTGATTGCAGTTGATTGTTTGATGAACACCCTGTGCAGATTCGCCTGGGGCGGCTCATCGAAGCTTGCGACCACGAGCTTGATGCGGTTGCAACTGGAGATCTTTCCCAAAAGGCTTTGATTCAAATGGTCTGGCTTCTAACCCGAGTCAAGCCCTGTGTATCCATCGCGTGCTTGCGTGTGTCATGGTATACAGAGTTAAATACCAGTTTCAGGCGCAAACACCTGGCCTTGCTGAGAATGACGAATTCCCGTGTCAAGGACAGTGTAGAAGAGATGAGGAAACAGGAGTGCTTGTCGGACGAGTGGGTGGATTCGTTGTGCCAGTCACTTGGCTGGTCAGATGCTTGGATGCAAGCTCCTGCAGCGAAAGGAAAGGCAAAGGCGAGAGCCAAAGCGGGAGCTCCCTTGCCAGTGGGGCAGAACGTGCTTCCATTTGCCCCGGCAGCCAACCCACCACAATCGTTACAGCCTAGCCATACCCTCCGATACGCTCACGAGCAGGAGGGTGCCCAGGAGCTGGCTCAGCAGCCGCGCTTGGGGATGTCGACAGTGGCCAAAGCCAGTGCACCTGCACCTGTGTTGAACAATGTGGGTGCTGGCGGTGTTCTGGGGGAGCCTTCTCAGCCTGTCGCTGGGAGCAATGGTGTGGTTGGTGTGGTTGGTGTGGTTGGTGTCGCATCTGTTCAGCCGCCTGTGCACACGATGGAGAACGCCACTGCCAATCCTTCTGTACCACCTGAGTTTCGATCAGAAGTTGAAGTGGAGACGCCTGAGGAGAATGTCCATGCCGCTGATGAACTGGAAGTTGCTGACCCTGTCAACCCGGCAGATTCTGAAGGGCTAGATGATGGTCATGTTGCGACAGCGACCCTGGAGACTGCGCAGGAGAAGGAGAAGCCTAAGTGCATGGTGTGCCATGAGTTGATTCTTTCTGATGCTGGTGCTGAAGAAGTTCTTGCTTTGGAATGTGGGCATCCATTTCACAAGCAGTGCTTGCTACGCACTTGGTCAATTGGAAACTGGCCCTATGGGTGGTGTCCATCGAGGTGCTTGGACCACATTATTCTCGCAGGCAGACCTAGCAGCTCCAATGATGATGTCATTGACATGAGTGCTGCGGACAATTCTGTCCCCCTTGCTTCGTCCAATACCCAAGCTGTGCCAGTGGATGGAGGGCTGGCCGCCGAGAACCAGGTTGATGGCGATGACTTCGCAATCTGAGTGGGTAAATTTACACACGATGAAATGCCAGGGTTAAATTTTGCTGGAGCATGTTTCTGTTGGATGGAAGCATGAATTGCTCCTGGGCAGCCCATATGCGGACTCGTGATTTTCTGAAAAAGAATAACCAACACCCAGTTGACCGTGTTATGTTTGGATTTTCGAGGCTGTTTTGAGAGTTGAAGAAGAAAGCTGGTATTGCATTGGGCTGCTGCTTGTGAAACCTCAGTCTTGAGATCATGGTGATGTGTGAGGGTTGAGTTCCTGTCTCTTCTTATCAATTGCTATAGGAGCCTCATCCGCTTTGCACACGTTGCCACTAGTCCAGGTTATTCGATTTCAGCTGGAGCGTGAGAGAAAAAATTGTACGGCATGCCGGTATGTTTTTGGAAATTCGGTGAATCAGAACTGCCGATGAAGCAACATATCAATCTGCAAAGTGTATAATTGTAAATAAGCAAGTGGCTTAACTAACATAGTTGTGAATGCGAATAGGGTTGAAATTATATAATTAAATATCCTAAACCCTAAACCCTAAACCCTAAACTAGTAGGTTTGAATCGGGCAGAGTTTTGTTTGCATCGACATTGTTTTGGCTTAAGGCTGTGCACATTTTTGCACATTTTTGCTCATTTTTGCACATTTTTGCATATTTTTGCATTTGGCTGCAGCCCGGCACATTTTTGCACATTTTTGCACATTTATGCACATTTATGCACATTTATGCACATTTATGCACATTGAATGGCACATTATATGTTAGTGCTAGATTGTAATGTGGTGGTTGGGATGGTCACCAGTATCATTCCACCATAATGTCGGTGTCCAGCGGCATTTTCAGAAGCAGAATGTGGGAAGAAGTAGAGTTGGGCTGCTCAGCAAGGCATGTCGTCGACATCATGTGCAACAGCAAAAGTTGCAAAATAATAGGTCAGAACCTGAACATAATGGTTCAACCTTTGTCGGGTCCACTGAGCAGCCTGTGGCCGTTGGGCCCACTGAGCAGCCTATGGTAAACTTTGAAAATGACTTGATGCAGAAGGTGAACGCATTGATGGCTAAGAAGAAAGAGATTGAAGAGCGGTTCGCGCAATCAAGTGCGATGATTGATGTAGCAACCTTTGCGTCTGTTCAGGGCTTTCCGGTTGATGCCTCGGGGGCAGTGAAGTTTGCTGATTCTTGTACAAAGAATCGGCTGTCCAGGAAACTGGATGATTTCTTTGTGTATGATCGTCTTTACAATGATTGCCGAGCAAGGCGTGTTTGGCCTGTCATCATTGGCCAGGCCTATCCTTGGATGGCTCATTGGACCCTCAAGGACCAGCTGCTCGCCTTGATAGCTCGCACACTGCACAATCGAAGCAAGAAACTTGTTTGGCTGGATGTTGTGGAATACTTTGCAGGTCGTGGCAACCTTAGCCGGGCCGCTCTTTCCAAAGGCCTGTCAGTATGCAGTTTGGATAATGAGTTTTCCTCGCTGCATGATGTGCTGGATTGTCCTGATGCTCTTCGCCTCTGGTTTTCCGTGTTGGCGGCAACAAAGCCAAACTGCCTGGTATGGCATGGAACACCGTGCAGCAGTTTCAGCATTATGTGTCGTTCAACATCTGAGCGCAATGCTACCAATAGTTTTCTGGGCAACGAATGCAAAACTTTTGTCCTCCAAGGAAACTACATGGCTGATTTGACGGCATTGACATTGTTGCTGGCGCACTTGATGGAATGTAAAGAAGCATTGGAACAATCTGGGACATCAGTAATGCCCCAGGCACCTTCTGTGTACGGGGTGCTTGCATTTATTCGAGCATTCCAGGTGATCACATATCACGCTTGTTTTGGATCTCCCACCATGAAGCCGTTTCAGCTTTGGAGCTCTTCAACTTTCATTTCAGACTTGGCTAGAAGGAAGCCTAACCCCTCCGAAGTTGGACTTGAACAGCTGGCTGTGAAATCAGAAGATGGGAAATTCACTGGCATCAGGGATAAGCTGCGTGAGAGTCAGGAGTACACAATGTACTTCGGCATGTGCATTGTGGAAGCCTGCAGAAATAGTAATTAACTCTATTTTGAGTTTGCGCAAGTTGTGCGTTGCCTTTTTGTGAAAGGGCAGCTGCCAGACTGAGCATGTTGCTTGCATAACAAGTGTGATGAGAAATTCGGCCTTGCCGGTCATACACAGGTGCCGGCCATTCAGTGTGGTGGCGCGTGGTGCAGCATGTCATGTGATGTGAGACATGCCCATTTGGTGTTCAGAAAATAATGTGTTGGGGCTCGCTCTTGGGACATTCCTTTATTTTTGCAGAGTGTTGATGACAGCAGCTGTCAATGCGTATTTCACAGATAGGTGTGTGGAAGCCATGCACGTCTTGTGGACTTTGTGCTAGTTTAATTAAAGATGCATTAAATTGATGATAGGTTTTTGTTCCGATAGCATTTTGTGTGCAGACTGCGTGTTGAAGAGCAACGCTCACCCTGTCCTTGTCACTACCTGAGTCTCTTTCGCTTTTTGGAACCATGCCGTCGGATGAGTGTGCTCACCGCCACTCCTTGCCTGCCTTGGAGCTGCAAGTTGGGGATGTGATTCCCAATGGTCGCCCTACAAGACGTTTGGAGAAGAGGCAGCTGGCTGTGGATGGTCTTCGGGGACGATACTGCGAACTTGTGTCTTCTGCCGTTCTGGACCAGTTGCTGCCCAACCCAGGTGACGACATTCCCAAGCGTGAGTGGGAGCGTAGAATGTTTGCAGCTCGACAGCTGCTACTCAATTCTGTGTTTGGAATTTGAATCTGAGAGGTGAAATATCTCCCGGACCAGAGTGGCGCAATTAATTTTGCAGAATTTTGGCAATGGTTTCTGGCCTAATTCAATTAGTTACTGTTTGGAAGCTGAGTTGCTTAAAATTAAATGCAGTTTGCAAATGATGAGATATCTGTTGGCTGGAGAAAAAGACTATTTGTGTTTTTGATGGCAGGGAGCAGATGTCTTCTGGTGATTCTGGAATCGTTCGGACTGAATGCTTTCAAAGACAGTTTGTGGCATTCCTTGGCAGCAGGAAATCAGTAATGATACTGTTTTTTTGTTCAACTTAGTGTTCGTTTGTCGCTGAGGCTGTGGAACTTAGACGATGGTTTCGTTTGCTGTTGCAGTGTCTGCTGGAACCTCAATGATCATCATGTTCTCAAAAGCAGATTCAGAAAGTGTTAATTGCCTTGCCAATTGCGACACAAGGTTTTGTATTGACTGTAGCTCTTGACTTTCACTTGACCAATAATGCCTTGCTGGTTCAATTGTGTCTGGATGAGATGGCGGGTTTGATGCCTGTGACAGCATGCGACAGAAACTGAAGACCATGCCATCAATTTGCTGATGATGGGTTTTTAGAAGGACCATCAATGATGCCGTTCCTTTTAATGGCAGTGACAAGGTTTTGACCATTCACTTCTGACAACAGCTTACGGTGTGCACTGCAACAAGTCAGCAAACCTCGTTTTTTGCAACCAGAAGTGTCCAGTGTTTTCATCATGCATGGATGCCCACGGCAATGGCCGCAACTTCTTGCATCATGATGATTGTCAGCAGTTGACAGTAGATGAGGATCCAAGTTTGCCATCGAAGTCGGTTTACTTAGTTCGCCCTAATGGGGATGACACCAGTGTAGAGCTGTACTGGGCAGTTGACTATTTGCATGACAAGTTGCGCAAGTGTGGAGAGAACCGTGCGTTGTACAAGTGGCGGTCTTTTTTTTCACAATGTATCGAGCAATCTGGGCTTGTGAGTAATGCCTTTGCATGCAACACTCACTTTGCTGGTCGTGAATTACCGCCACAAGCCTTGGCTGAAAATGTTGCCTCTTCAAATGCTGTACTGACCTATTACTTTCGGGTTTTGGAAACGAGCAGAACCAGGAGTTTAACACAACAGGTGACTGAGATGCTGAGCAGAATTTCAACCTGTGTGTGTGAGGCGCTTTGCCATGATGCTGACTCCCCGCACTTATGTGTTGACATTCCTCTTGAGAACGGCTCTGTTTTGCAGTTGTGTCCGCAATCAGGTATGGTGGATGGGTTGCGCACTTGGGTGTCAGCTAGACACCGCACTGCTCTAGAAGCCTGGTCCGCTTCCTGGTCAAGCATGCGTGCGGATGGATTGTTGACCTGTTTGTTGACCCAGGATGCTACTACACCGCTCAAGGATGTTTTAATGTTTGCTTCTGGTGTCAGCCGCTTTCGAAAGAAGAAAGGACAGTCTCCTTGGGAAGGAGCAAGCCCTTCTGGGTCTATGCTGCGGGCACTCCAAAGGGGTCTCATCAGTTTTCTTTCTGGTGGCCTTCTCAGCTACATTGTGGGGCAGTACCAAATTGAACACAATGTGTCCAAAGCAGCGCCCTCCAGGAAAACATCGACTGGGGGCAGAGTCAGCATGTCCGTCGACGCCATCTGGGATTTGCTTCAACATTCCAGCCACAGTGTGACATCGGCCAGAGAGGTCATGAATGTAATAGGACCTGGATCGCGACTGTCCCAGGCCGGTGGATGTACTGAATCTGCAGTGGACAGCTGGAGCCGTAGACGGCAGATACTGTATGACGAGAGGATGTCTTACAGCATATGTGGGGCTCGACACTACAATTTATGTGCAGACGCCAGCACACACTCCGGCAAAGAAGTGCTGGTATCAGTGCTTTGGTGCCACCAGAACAATTGTGCAGCTTTTCCCTCGGTACAAGTGCTGCTCTCTGTAGATTCTGTGGCTCCCATGGAGCTGGAGTTGACGAGTTCAATTGAGCAGCTTGCCAAGGACAATGTTCAAAAAGATGCATGTTTTAGTAGGATATGATTGGGGGTACGAGCCTGCCACACTGTAACAATAACAACAATATCTTATATCTAGATGCGGATGGTTCTAAGAAAAAGGCCATCGTTGGCTTGAGCTGGTTTCCGATTCGGTCGAAAACAGGGTGTGAATTTTGAGTTCGGACTGCCAGGAGAACAAGCTGCAGCGCCTTTCAGCTTATCGACAGTTGCAGGCATTATCCCATCAAATCCACTTGGCGACCAGAGGTGGCTTCAATTTGGATTCTTTCAAGGTGCCTGAATCTATTTGCATCGCCCCAGTGAGAACAGGAGAAACAAGGTTCACCTGTGTGGATCACCGTACTGGCAAGATTCGGGCTGGTATTCGAGACAGGAATTTGGAAGATAAATTTTTGCTTCCAGACTCCACCACTCGCTGGTGGAATGATGTCAATTTGCTGGTTCTTCAGCTCGACCAGGGAAAGATTGGGTCGGCAGGTGCTGCGTCCCGCAGCTAGATTCAAGCTCACAATTTTCATGAATATAATTGTATCAGTTTCTCCACGGGATGAATTCTGAATTCCTTCCAGGAATGATTTGGAGATGGACTGGGTTTACTTTTTCCTTTGGCTTTCTATCTGAGATTACTTGGCCTTCTAAGTGACATTCAATCTGGCATTCTATCTGGCATACCATTTGACACATCATATTCTAGCATTCTATATGGACTTCTATCTAGATTATCTGTGCTCCGGTGTGGTGTCCGCCAGAGCCGCAAAAACTTCGCCATCATATGTAATATAGCCTGCAGCCTTCTGCCACAGCTCTACATGTGTTCAGGGCCGGTGCCCACCAGAGCAGCCGACGCCTTGCCTTGTTGCCTTCCGCCACAGCTCTACATGTTCGGTTCAGCACACCGCACACCGGAGCTGCCAAAATTGTGCCATATTCATATAGTATAGTAGCATGTTGCGTTCTGCCACAGCTCTACATGCATTCAGGGCCGGCGCCCACCGGACCTGCTGACACCTCGCGTTGTTGCCTTCTGCGCAGCTCTACATATATTTGCTTCAGCACACAGCAGAGCCGTCAAAACCTCGCCATATGTATAGTAAGCCGCCTGTTGCCTTCTGCCGCAGCCACAGCTCGACATGTTTGGTTCAGCGCACACCGGAGCCGCCAACAGTCGCCATATGTAAAGCTTTTGCTTCCTACAGCTTATCAGGGGTTGGTGTCGGCGCCCACTGGAGCCCTCATGTAGTTTCCATGTGCATTATGTTGACTCTGCTGATCTGGGTATTCTTTCTGTGCATTGCCTTGATGTCACTGATCTGGCTGGCATTCACTGTGTGTGTGTGTGCACGTGGTGTGTGTTCCTTCTCTCCCTCTTCTCTCTATCCCCCTCTTCTCTCTATCCCCTCTCTCTCTATCTCCCCTCTCTCTCTCTTTCCCCCTCTCTCTCTATCTCCCCTCTCTCTCTTTCCCCCCCTCTCTCTTTCCCCCTCTCTCTCTTTCCCCCTCTCTTTCTTTCCCCCTCTGTCTCTCCCTCTCTCTCTCTCTCTCTCTCTCTCGCTCTCTCTCTCTCTCTCTCTCTCCCTCAGTCTCTCTCTCAGTCTCTCTCCCTCTCCCTCACCAGGGGAGATCAGCTTCTGATGATAAAGTCTACAGACCCTCACTCAGCAGATGGGCGTTAACCAAAAAAAACAATACCGTTGTATAAATAAATAAATAAATAACTTATATATATATATTATAAGCAGTTAAATATATTGATAAGAAAAATGTGAATTTCACATATGTACATTCTATGGATATATTTCTGTGTAGAAACAAAACTATATAGCATATATGTATTGTGTTTTGGATGTGTTCACCTTGAGTGTAGCTCGGTACACAAATGCACCATATTGACACATGGATATTGGTTATAGTTTATATTTTCTACCTATTCGTTTTGACATTGTAGCGGTTTTTGAAGCATTTGGGCCATCATAGCTCTTTGTCAGATTCATCAATCCCAGGTTTGCAATCCAAAATCTGGATTCCTGCATCCAAACCCGATGGGATTGCTTTCATCGCTGCGTCAACGATGTCAAGCAAGCCTTGAAACGGGCTGCCAGTGGGGTATTCTTGGGATGTCAAATGCACACAACGTACTTATGGGGCTTGGCCTACAGACCTTATGGCAGCGGTGCTTATTCAGAACACAAGCTCAGGCTGTTGGAACTCATGCTTAGTCGAGAATCTGCTTTTACATGCAAACCTTTCCAATCCTTGTGGCAGGACATTCGTGAGGACCTGCAGATGTGCCCCAACTCATCAATGCAGACAGTATGGGATGCTTTGTCTTCATGTGCCACCTTTTGGCGGAAAGGCACCATGCCGAAAAATTCAAGGTGGTTTGCATGGTCAGACTCCTGTGAAGAGCAGCTTCCAGAATATCATGTCCTCAAATGCGTCCTTGCTTACCACTATCAGAATGAAAAGCTGGACCCGGACTTGGTGCAAGAGCAGCAGGCCCTAGCTTCTGTAGTGAGGGAAGCCAAGCAAGGCGGAGGGGATCAGCAATCGCTGCGACGAGAGTTCAGCAAACTCAAGGAATCACTGGGCGGAGGCCCGAAGTTGGCATATTACATCATGTCCGAAAAACTTTTTTTCCATGCTGCGATTATGCAAGTTTGTGTCCGTCCCTGCTGGTCTTGGTATGCGAACAGTGTCAAGACTATCAAGTCTCCACTTGACAACCTTGCTCTTGCTGCGAGGATGCAGTCGGATTGGTGTGCGGAAGCGCATTTGAAAGCCCTTGCTCAGATTCCAACATCAAAAGACCCGCAGCTGGTGCGGCTTCTTGGCCATCCAACAATTAAAGATGCTGCTGACAAGGTTTCACAGCTCGTGTTCCACCTTCTCCGCAAACGGTGTTCTTCCTTGTCGAAACATAGTGCGCCCCCAGACTGCTATGCGCAATTATTTGCACCTGATGCTGAGTTGCGAGAGGACTGACTGAATGAAATAATGATGTTTTCGTTTTAGCGGAAAGTTTATAATTTGGATCTCACAAACTGGCTCACCCGGCAAAGCCAGAATGCACTGCCTGATCTTTTTGGATTCACTTGCCGAAACAATTGGTACACCTTTCTTGGGTTCATCAATGGTCTTGATCTCCATGGCATGGGCTTGATTTTATATCCTAATCAATACTTGGTGGTAACATGTTGTAACATATTTTTATTTGACAAAGATAAATAATAGATCAATGCTGTGGCACGCTATGGCATGAGTGTCTTAGTAGTGACTTGAACACTGTGTACTATTTTGTTTCCCCCATTTAAGCTTTCACAGGAGACAGTAGCCGCCATGAAGATGGACTTCGAATCGCTGTTGCAACTGGAGCAAGCGTCGGCTAATTCAGGCACAGCTTTGGCAATTCTGACAGACCTGAAGACTGTACTGACACCTCCACTAAGGCTGATGTACTTGGCGTTTGAGCAAGACAATTGGGATGTTGGTTCGGTGGGTGGCATGCACCTGGCTGCAGGCTTGCTCAAGACACTGGCGGATTCCAAAATTGTGGAAGATCTCCACTCTGTGGTCAGGGTACAGCGCAATTCTCAAAAAAACAAGAAACAAACCGTGCACCAAATCCAAGAGCTGGTAACACAAGCCGATGTTCTATCTGAGAGAAACATTCGGCATGCAGCTGCCATTGACCGTAGCACCTTTCTTCAGTCTTTCAAAAACACACATGACCGAAAGAGAAAAAGGCGGTACTTTGCACGGGTGCACCCCCTCAATGAACGATGGTCGATGATCATGGGACGCAAGACTTGGGGGTCATTGACTGAAGAAGCATTGCTTCGAAGCGCAGCCGCCTTTGCCTTCGTTCGTGCTTACAAAGCCAGTGACATGAAAGCGAAAGGTGTTCGTGTTGCGCACGGGCTTTTCTCAAAGTTAGCCACTGAGATGACTGTTCTGTCATGCTGCGACCCTTTACGTCTCTACCCAGATGTTACTGGGTTATGCCTTGGCCAGTTCCACTGGGGTTGCTTGCTTTGGCCCATCAAGCCTTTTTTTGGCGAGCCAAATGACGCGGAGTGGTGGACACTAGACTTCTCTCAGATCTCCGGTGAGGCCTGTTGGGTTCACATTGTGAACCCTCAGCATTGGAAGGTATGGAGCTTCGAGAACTGCAAGTTTGGAGAAGACTTGATACTCATGCGTTTTCTTGGTTCCACTACATTGCTGCAGCATTTCTTTGGACAGGTATCCAAACACAATCTCCTGACAAAGTTTGACTTGATCAATCTGGGGGAATGCCTGGGTGCTTTGGACAGTGCTGTCGATGTTCTGAACAGAATGCCGCGACTTGACCTCATAGATGCCTTGCTGGATATCATTTGTGATGGTGATATTGGGTGGACTGAGCCCATCAAACAGGCCATGCGCAAACCGAAAGCTACCGCAGCAGCAGACGAGTTGGAGCTCAACTCATGGCACAAGGAGTTGGGAACTGTTCTCGATGAGGTGGTTCTGTCAGAGATGCCCCAGGAAGAAAGACAAGATTTCAAAGAGATTCAAGAAGCAGTGCAACAAAGAGTCATCGGTGAAAATGGCTGGGCAGTTGTTCCTCAAAAAGGAAAAGGCAAGGGCAAGAAATCCAGTGCCAAGGCCAAGGCAAAATCAAAAGCAGCGGCCAAGAGCCGAGGGACAGGTCGAGGCAAAGGTCGTGGCTGTGGTGTTGGTCGCGGTGGCCGAGCTGGTGGCCGAGCTGGTGGCCGAGCTGGTGGCCGGGGATTCGGGTTGAAAAGGTCAGCATTGATGGCATTGCTGCCACCTGTGAAGGAAGAATCTAAGTTTGATATTGATGGTAGTTTTTCTTAAAGTCTCTGGGTTTCGCCCGCAAGCAATTCAATAATAATTCAGTTCACTGAACTTATGTCAACTTGACCAGGGCAGTATCAATTTCGCTGTGCATTTTCCGAATTGGAACCAAACTCAGGACGCTGACGATGCTGACAGCCTTGTCCCTTCACCTTCGCCACCTCCGATGGATGTCAATGAGAAAGAAAATTCTGAGGACCCCTGCCCAGAGCAGATGGTACTACAGGATTCAGCCCAGACTGTGGATCATCAGCAATTGGCTGTGGCAGCTGCTGTGGCTGCGGAGGAGGGCCCTATTGTGCCGGCTATTCCGGTGGCTCCAGAACCCGAGATCGCTGGACCGCCTGTTGAAGAGTATCCAGACGATACGCCCCTGGAAGCTCTGCGGCCTAGGGTGGCTGCCCCTGAGGCACCTGCCGAACGTGGTCCTCGGGCTGCTGCGGCGTATGCGCTGGTTTGGACAGATGTCACTTGCAATTCATGCCATCAGGTTTGTGGCCAGTTCAAGTTTTCGCCCGGCCCCTCCAGACATGCAAACCAGGACCCACCGACTTGGTTCATGAGGGTGAAGGAAAATGACACTTGGCCCAGTGCAGGCCCGAACTTTCGAAGGCGATTGGCCAAAATTATTGGTGACAGCGAAGAGTATTGCAAAACGTGGATTCAGAGCAACAGAAAATGTTGCAACGCTTAAGGCGAGGAAGGAAAAAACCAGCTGATGCTTTCTTTCATTCAGCTTTGCCAACCTTTATTATATGTAATGTAGTATATAATATATAATAAAATTAAGTAGCAACTATTGAGAGATGAAATAAGATACATTCCAAGGGTTGCAGTTTTCAACAACAAATCAATCCAACGCTGTGATGTGCGTTCCTCCTGAGGATTTGTCTTCGGAAAGAGTGTAGTGTGTTTGGGCCGAGGCCACCTTCTTCACTGTGCACCATGATTGTGAGTACGCGGTGAGCTTGTGATTGGCCAGAATGAAAAAACAATGTCCACGTGTCTGCCGGTGTTTTGCTACAGCAGCTTTTGTCTGGACATTTAACCATTGCTTTGAACATGACACCTGATAATCATGAACACAAAGAAGACTCTGTGGATTTGAAATTTGGTTAGCCCTCCACCCAAACTTATAAGATGCATGTTTTTTGCTTGATTCGTTTGTACAGAGCCAGAGCGTCGCCAACAGGCTTTCAAAAAGAGCTTTGAATTGTTGGGTGTTTTGGTTTTGGACTACTGGTGATTGTTGAAGGCAACAATGATTCTGCACAAAAAGTATGATTTTAGTATTTTTTGTGAAGGGGGTTTCTTTATGTAAAAACCTATAGAATCTAAACCCCTTGGATCTCAACCCCGACTTTTGTTTAATGATAGTATCATGGTAGTATTATTTTGCAAAAAATATATTTTATGGGATAACATTCCTCTGATCCCATTTAGTCTGTGGGGGTAGTATTATCCTAAATGTGATCATGGCGGTTTAATGGGAACTATCATATTAATATTTTTTGCATTACTATCGACCATTATGGGATGATAATGATGATTTCATGGGATTTACCCGGGAATTTGTGGGGATTAAACCGTCAGCAATAGGAAACACTGGGATGTATTTATAAGATCCATCATAATCAGATCGTTACCATAACAGTCCATATGGCAACATTATAACATCATATGGATAATTTGTTTTGGTAACATGATATTATCATCGGGTAATGGGATAGAGCATGATTTTATGGGATATATGGTACATAATGGGATAGTGTATATATATATATATGTACACAGAAATCCACCTTCGTCCATACGCACTACATGTGTATATATATATATGATATATGATCATATATGATAGTTGAACATATATGCAATGCATACTTAAAGTGGTTTTTTGCATATTTAATTCGTACATAAATAAATAAATAAATATATATATATATATATATATGTATGTATGTATATATATATTAACTAACTTATTTATTCAAAAAAAGTGTGGAAGTGAACAACAATTGTTGCTGATTTTGCCAGACTCTCGCTCATCCGCAGTTTGAACAGACAAACAGGTGTGAAGATCCCTGACAGTCCTGTTTCTGGGATATCATGAGATGCAATGGGATACAATCATCATCAATATATGATCCATGTATATCCATGTGTCATTTCCTGAATATATGTATACAATATATGTATACAATAGATACAATGTATACAGTATATGTATACAATTATGTATACAATATATGTATACAATATATGTACATATTTGAAATATAATGTATATTCATTGCATGTTTGTGTATATCTAAAATGATATCATCTAGGATTCAGGATCATGTCTTGTTGATGTGATACTTCATTTCGATGGTGTATATTCACGTGTATATACATGTGTGTGATGCACATTATATGTTTATTATTGATGAACATTATATGTGTATAGTGTATATTTATATATACAGTATACATGTTACACTGTGTAAATATTTTAAAACATGGATAATATTTCAATATCCACCGTAGTATAGACCAATCTATCAATATGTTCCGTTGATTGTTTTGCTTTGTTTTGTTTTGTTGTTGTTGTTGTTGTTCATTGTTATTTTGATTTATTTTGTGTTGGTTGTTTTTGATGTTTTCTTCAATTAATTTGACATTTAATTGAATCGTGTGTTTTGGTTTATATAAAAAAAAACATGTTGAGCGAATGTTTTGCAGGTCACTTGGAGTTCCAAGTATCTATGCCCTAGTGTACCCAAATTAAGGAATGCTTTCTGTTGATGTTTGTTCCATCAAAAATGTGGATTTTACGGTCAAACTTATGTGTTTCATCATGGTCATGTTCAATCAAACATGTGATAGAACCAACAACATTTGCACGCCGGATCAGTAAGGGAGACGGGAAAACAAGGAAGAAATAATCATTAATGTTTGGAATCAGGTCGATTGAAACCTTTTTTTTTGCCAGATCCAAATTCTGATCATATGTGCCACGGTCAATACGTGATTTATTTGTCCGGTCAAAGGGGATGGTCATCCCCCTATTACTAGTGATTCATATACCCATTAGCAGAACCATACCCCATTAATCCCATGAAACTTGATCACGGCACACATGGAGGAGAAACACATCTGAATTATATGACTTTGGTCAAGTCGCCCCGAGGTTTGACTTATTTTCCCCATAGGGATGATAGCAAGCACATACCTGGCCCATTTATTTCAATTTGTATTGCCCTTCGCAAATTGTGATTGCCGATGTTGAATTACCAGAGGGTAAGTGTTGAGGGATGAGGCTGGGCAGATATTCACAAGTGGGACTGAATCCTCAAATTTATGTTTGTCTCTACAGTGGACTATTCTGTCCGGTTCAAAGCACAGCTGTCCATTCTTATTTGAGATATCCACCTGAAAGAACCCATCTAAGCATGTTGGATCCATGATTGTTATATCTTGCAATCCTGAAGCAGGTCTGATTCAAATTTTGGGGCCGATGACGCCTAATAAATCCCACTAAAAACAATTTGATGTTCGTAACAACCTTGTTTATTCAGGCGTATCTCCCTTCTTCACTGGGTTAATAATATGCCATTTGCTGCCCACACGGAGGCATTTTGTTGGTGTTTTGGTGATTTCGAACATGTTTTACTTTCCCCAAAACAATGGATGATCAGCCAAATCCCAAAGGAATATTGTTAGGCTTGTTGGATGCATTTGAATCATCATCTCTTCGCACCAAAGTCATGTTTGTAATGATTGATTTGCAATCAACTGTACAAGTGACTCTGATTCTGATATAAGATGATGATCCAAATGCAGATGGTCCAAAAATCCTTGCCCAAAACAACACAACTCTAAAAATGACTTAAAATGTCTAAAATTCAGTCGCTTTTCTCCATCGCAAGCGCCCAGCAGCCTAAGGCAAGCTGAAACTATGTGCAAGCTGGGTTTGCAGCCATTCTTGGACGAGGCCTAGGGTTGACTCCTCAGTCTGGCAACTGATTTCTCATTTTGTTGGTTGTACATCCCATTGTATCCCATTTTGCTCAGCTATCTCCCTATGGTTGGATGCCAAATCCTCATTTTGGGTGAGAAAATCCATTGTTTTCTTGGTTCTATTTCTTCCAGCCAAAATTTTAACTTGATCTCAATTTCGTCCAACTTCACCATTTTTCCTAGTTTCCCTCGGGTACAAAAGAGATGTGGAAAAACCGTAAGAAAATTATCTACAACTGGTGGGTAAACTCCCTCCGCAGCCGGCTCCAGGCCCTGTTCCCGGGCCGTGACAACGGCGGACGGCGGCTGCAGCAGCTGACGCAGACGGAGGTTGATGCGGATGCCACGCTGGAGGATCCTTGGCGGATGGGATTTTATGATGTGAAAATGAGATTTTGACAGGAAATTCGTGGGATTTTGACGGGGGATTTGATGTGATCGGGACGTTGATAGGATTTAAATTTAAATGGGATTCGATTGGTATTTAAATACCCAACAAAAAATGAGTTTTGAAAGTCATGGGGGACCCAAATTATGATAATTTGTTATGTCATTATGTTCATGTAAAGAGCATGGTGATAAGGTTTACCCTTGTTTTAGGAAACACCCACAGGAGTGGGTCCAAACGTTCTTCATTGAGGATAAAATGGTTGCGGATTGAAATTCACCAGAATCCGTTTATCCCTTCCAACGACCACGAATGTGGGGTGTTTAATGGTGTTTAATGGTGTTTAATATGATGGGGATGGGATTAATCATGTTCTGGGTCCATTGGAACCCTTCTCCTATCTCCATCAGTGTTGACCCCGTCAGAGGGGTTCGATCCAGCCATGGCTCTGCCAGAGCTTACTCGTTTCTCTTCAAATCTCTACATGCCACAGTACTCCAGAAGATATGTATCTGTACATGCAATTTGAATATGTAATTCATGATTGTAATTGTCTCTTTTATATATATACTTTTTTCCTGTATACAAACATAAGCGAGAAATGTCTCCTTATCTCATGTTCCGCGAATCTTCCCCACGTTGGGTCCCCATCATGAACGGCTCCAGGATTGCATGATTGATTGCTGCAGCTCCGGCCGGTGGCCCTAGATAAACCGTTCCCAAGTATTCCCATTTTCACCAGAAATGGATGGTAAACATCATCCCCAAATGGATAAATGGTAGATTTACTTTTTGGTTTAACACGTTGTCGAAGGAAGTTTTGAAGTCAAACTTCCGACAACATGGACAGACGGAAAAGAAGAGGTGGGAAGAGTCAGAGAAGAGAAAGAGTCGGAAGAAAGAAGACGCAGGAGCGTAGAAAAGTCACGATTCCAATGTTTTGTGATTCCGGAGGGTCGAAAAGTAGGAGAACGGCGGGTGGGGAGCCATCTGCGCAGATAAGAGATGAAAAGTTGCACGCCGTTGCGGCACAGGAAGTCAAAAACACTTCAGTGTCGGAGCACTTTTGGAAGTTCAGATGTCGAAAAAGTGCACGCCGCTGTGGCACGAAGATGCGCGAAGCACGTTTCGAAGTCAAAATGATAAAACACACCATTGTTTGAAAAAATGGAAGCTCACGTAGTGTTAAAAACTTGTGGTCTTGGACAATTTTTGGAAGTTGAGATGTGGAAAAAGTGCACGCCGTTGTGGCGCAAAGCGCGCCATTGTCGGAGCACTTTTGGAAGTTGATATGTTGAAAAACTGCAAGGCATTGTCGCGGAAGCGTATTTCCAAGTCAAAATCGTAAAAACACATAAAAACACCACATGACACATGCTCGGACCACTTTTGGAGGTTCGAATGTGGATAAAGTGCGTGCCGTCCGCTTTTGTGGAGCGAAGCACATTTCGAAGTCAAAATGTTAAAAACACGCCAAGTTCGGACCACTTTTGTATCTTCAACCGCACCGCACCACCACACAACAACAACAACAACTACAACAACAACTACTACTACTACTACTACTACAACTACAACTGCTACTACTACTACTACTACTCCTACTGCTACTGCTACTGCTACTGCTGCTACTGCTGCTGCTGCTACTACTACTACTACTACTACAGCCACAACAACAACAACAACAACTACTACTACTACCACTACTACTACTACTACTACTCCTACTACTGCTACTGCTGCTGCTGCTACTACTACTACTACTCCTACTGCTACTGCTACTGCTACTGCTGCTGCTGCTGCTACTACTACTACTACTATTACAACTACTACTACTACTACTACTATTACAACTACTACAACCACTACAGCTACTACAGCTACTACAACTACTACAACTACTACAACTACTACAGCTACAACTACAACGACAACATTGCAACTACAACAACATTAACTACAGCCACAGCTAGAACTACACTACAATATAACTACAACTGCAACTGCAGCTACAATTACATTGCACTACGCTACGCCACGCTACATCCACCAGTTGTGGTTGAGGTGCAACTGCTACCACTCTAAGAAGCGCAACTCCAACAACCTTTCGGTTCATCAGTGATTTTGCTCTGACATCCATGCATTACAACAACTCATATCTCCAATAGTGTCCTATCCTATATTGGAACTTCCGCCACCGCCTTGTGCGGCACCACTGGTATTATATATTATGTATGTATATATATATATAGATACATACATACATACATGCATACATACATACATACATACATACAAACACCAACATACATACCTACGTACCTACGTACATACATACCTAGATACATGCATGCATGAATACATACATACAGACACACACACAGACACACTATATACATACATACATACATACATACAGACATACAGACATACAGACATACATACATACATACATACATATATACATATATACATATATACATACATACATATATACATACATACATTCATACATTCATACATTCATACATTCATACATTCATACATTCATACATTCATACATTCATACGTACATACGTACATACGTACATACGTACATACATACACACACACGTGTACATCCATCCATCCATACATACATGCATGCATACGTACATACATTCATACATACGTACATACATACACACACACACACGCGTACATCCATCCATCCATCCATCCATCCATCCATCCATCCATCCTTCCATGCATGCATGCATGCATGCATGCATGCATGCAAGCATACACATTCATCATCTATCTTCGGAACCTCCAGTTTTACCTTTCTGCATATTCGTTTGTCTTACCAACCAACCTAAGCTACGGGAAAAATACTTTACGCTGGTAAACCTGATCAAGTTTCCCAGCATTGTAAGAATTGAGTATGGGTTGATGATTGGGGGTTATCACAGCTATGCGTGTCGTTCGGAGACGGTAGTTCTATCATGAAAATAATCTGCCGGTTTGGTTAGTATTTTGAATTACCAGTAGTACCGCACAAGGCGGTGGCAGAAGTTTCAAAAATAGGACACCTATAGGAGGGGGGTGGTTGTTGTTAATCATGGATGGCAGAGCGACTCTACTGCTGGATGACAAATGGTTGGAGGTGTTTTTCTTTCTTTCTATCCATTTGTCTCTTTCGAGATTTGTCGATCTATCTATCTATTTATCTGTCTACCGGTCTGTCTTTCTATCTGTTTTTCTATCTATCTATCTATTTGTCTATCCGCCTATCCATCTATCTATTTGCCTGTCTATCCATTTTACCTATCTATCTACCATCTATCTGTGTCTCTGTCTTTCTACCTGTCTATCTATCTGCGTATCTATCGGTCCATCTATTGGAATCAACGCCCATGCCTCCTAACATGTTTGACTCATGTCATGTGTCTCCCGTACTCCGCCTGCCACGCGAAATGCATCTTTGCAGATCCTCCTCGAATGCCCCACGACTGCCAACGTTTTTGAAACTGGTGCAAATTTTACATTTTGCTCACTTTTGGCAAGGAGCATATCTGCCACACAAAACGACGCTTCAATATCAAAAAATGGTCCTTCATCCTCATCTGGCCAGATGGCTCCGCACCCCCCGCTTTAGCGAGCCTACTTTTCGACCCTTCCGAGCCACAAATCATCAGAAAAGCACAGTGCTTCGCGACGCTGCTACCTTTTCGCGCGCCTGCTTCTCTGATATGTTTTCTTCTTCCCTTCCCTTCCCTTCCCTTCTTTTTCTTTTCTCTCCTCTCCTCTTCTCTTCTCTTCTCTTCTTTTCTTTTCTCTTCTCTTCTCTTCTCTTCTCTTCTCTTCTCTTCTCTTCTCTTCTCTTTTTTTCTCTTCTCTTCTCTTCTTTTCTCTTCTCTTTTCTTCATCTTCTCTTCTCTTCTCTTCCTCTCCTCTCCTCTCCTCTCCTCTTCTCTTCTTTTCTCTTCTCTTCTCTTCTCTTCTCTTCTCTTCTCTTCTCTTCTCTTTTTTTCTCTTCTCTTCTTTTCTCTTCTCTTCCTATTCTCTTCTCTTCCTCTCCTCTCCTCTCCTCTCCTCTTCTCTTCTCTTCTCTTCTCTTCTCTTCCCTGACTCTTCCCTGACTCTTCCCTGACTATTCCCTGACTCTTCCCACCTCTGCTTTTCCATCCGTCCATATTGTCGGAAATTTGACTTCTAAACTTCCTTCGATCATGAACTGTCCAAATAATGATGATTGATAAATGACGAAGAAACACGGTTCATTGATTGTTCTGCTGGCATTGACCATTGAAATTGTGGTTTCAACCCCTGGCGGGATTGTTTTCTGGTAGTTGGCATTAGTCACCGCTCAATCAGAGACACTGAATCCATGTTACTACTCCCAAACGAACGTAGACCCTGCCAAAGGTACAAACTGATACAAATTGTTGGTTTACTGGAGGTTACTTCCATTGAAGACTACTATCGCCCTACCGCTAAGTCACTAAGCATCCTTTAATGATGGTCCCATGCGATTTCATTCCTACATCCATGGGATTCGTCCAAATTATTCCAAATATGTACGAATAATTCAACTATACCATGAATGGACACCATTTTTTCGTGTTTTGTCCATTTTTTTTTTTCACCACCATTTCTGTTGTAAATCCCATCCGCCCAGACCCCGCGGATCGTCTGTCCATCATCCAAAACACGCGCTTGAACCTGGTGACCACGACCAACGCAGCTCGAAGCTGCCTGGGCACCCAGTGTGGCGATACCATCCAGTCATGGTAAGTTTTTTTGGTTAAAATATATTTAAAAATTACACAAAATCACCAGAATCTGCGGATTTGAAGGTTTTTGAGATTTTGACCCATGTTCAAATCCCATGATATTTGTTTATATACTCATATAATCATATAATATCAACTACTATAAATTATGCCGTGCCTTTTCAATTGTAAACCCTTCTGTTTTGGGAATGCCTTGCAACTTTGTGGCCGACATCGCCACACATGACGGCTGATATTGGGTGAACGGTTTGGGGTTTACAAAAACCCAAAGATGATCCGGAGCAGGTGAAAAATGGATTGGTCCAAACTTGGAAAACACAAAAACATTGTTCCAAGATTGTTCCAATGCGGGTAAAACAACAATAAACCACCCCTTTTGGCCATTGGGAATGGTTTATACCACCTATAAACATGGTGATTTGGGGGATGGTTTATGATTTTTGTTACCCACATTAGGTTGTTCCCAGCCGGGTGCAATCCAAGATGTTCCTGCAGTGCTGGAGTTCAGCACCCCAGGTCTGTTGGTGGTTTCATTTTGGTAGATGGAACTTGTTGTTGGACAAAGGGTATGGACCAGCACCAACTCTGTACATGCTACATTCTACATATATTGATGGAAACCACTGACTTGGTGCTGGAATTTTGTTCAATGTGCTGTGGCAGAGACCCAGCTGGTTCCTACCAAGGCCAAAAGGAGGATGGCCTTCAGTTGGAAACGGGCGATGGTGCATATCCCTGCAGCTGCGCAGGCGTTAAATAACTGGGCCTGATGGATCGAGTTCAAATGCCAAAAAATTGATGCATCATGTAAAAATATGGCAGATGGCAGTGGCTATGGAAACATAAAAATTGAGGGCAACACAAAAGACAGTGAAAACTCCTTAGATTCTTAAATTTTGCGATTTTGATTTAATGGAAATCCTTACTTGTCCTTTAGATTCGAAAGGACCATCAATTGAAAATAATGTGATTTCAATTGAAATCCTTACTTATCCTTTAGATTTAAAAGGAACATCAATTGAAAGTAATTTGATTTCAATTGAAATCCTTACTTATTCTTTAGATTTAATTAAAAGGAAAATCAATTGAACGTAATTCCTTTTGAATTGAACTCCTTTCTTATCCTTTAGATTTCAAAGGAAAATCAATTGAACGTAATTTCATTTGAATTGAAATCCTTTCTTATCCTTTAGATTTAAAAAGGAACATCATTTGAACGTAATTTCATTTGAATTGAAATCCTTTCTTATCCTTTAAATTTAAAAGGAACATCAATTAATTTGATTTCAATTGAACTCCTTACTTATCCTTTGGATTTAAAAAGAACATCAATTGAAAGTAATTTGATTTCAATTAAACTCCTTACTTATCCTTTAGATGTTAAAGGAAAATCAATGGAAAGTAAACTTATTTCAATTGAAATTATTCCTGAAAATCTCATGAATCCAATTTTTGGTTTTGCTGGTCATGATTTGGGGTGACAACCTTGCTGTGATCCCCACCATTTGCGTAGCTCAAGGCGCCGTGCCCACGGTCAGGCGTCGACTGCGTGGAGGGTCAGGCGTGTCTCATCGTGAACGACGAGGGAAGCTGTGATTTGATACCAACGACCACCACCTCTTTAACCGCCACCTCTTCAAGCCTCACCTCTTCAACCACCACCGCCACAGCGCCGTGGCCGCAGAAATGGGAAAATCACTCGCTTATGTGTGCGAAACAAGATCGATTGTGCCTGCGTTACCTGTTCTTCTGGGAAACGGCTAGCATGTTGCATCTTTACGTACAACGTACTTGTCCTGCCGCATCCAGCATCAGCATCATGTGATGCATTGCATAGCGATGTTTTGGTCGAATAATAGCTCTGTAATTTAGCTTATACCAGCCTGTTCACCTAGTTTCCTGACTTAGCCATGGGTCCCAGATAGGGTGATCTGACTGGGATTCAACGAGGTGAAATTGGGAAGAACATGGTGGTTTACAGGTGATGCTGGGGATTTCAAAAAAATAACATGGGAAATGAAGCAACAAATATGGCATAGAAGTGGGATATAGATATAAAATGGTGATGAACATGGTGGTTTACTCATCCGAAAATGTGATTGAACAATCGGAACAATGATGCTTTAACATGTTTAACATTGTTTAACTATCTAACATTTTACATCCTGGGTTTAACTCAACATCATACGGTGATGTCAAGCAGCAAAAATATATTGGGCTAATATGATTTACAGGTAATTGTTTGGTGGTTAAATATGATTTATATCCTAACATTTAACCACCAAATAATACTTGGTGTAATATGATTACAATATTATGGTGGTTTAATATTGTTTATAGAAACATTGGGATGATGATGATTTTGTCGTAACACACTTGAGGAAAAAAAAACACCAAGAACTTCAATTTAAGCAGGTTTTCCCAGTAAAATTGTTTAATTCATTTTAATTCCATCAAAATCTCACATGTATATAGTTGGTTAAGCCCCATGATTTCCCTAACTGGTTAAATTCAATTTAAATATATATATATAAACATCCGATTCAATTCCAATTAAATCACAAGCAATTAGTTAAATATAGCCGAATTTGAACTAACAACTAACAAATTCAAAAATTCATCGAACTAAATGGTGGAAACTCAATTAAACTGATACTTGATTAGTTAAATCAACGTCCAATGAACAAAAGACACAATATCAATAAAAAATGGTTGGTTCATGTTGGTTCCCCATTTTCATCGTTGAAATTCCCATATTTCCGGCAAGGTCTCCATGACTACCTCCACCTTTACCACGGCCACTGTCACTGTCACCACACACACTCGAACGGTGTCCTCCACCACCGCGACGGAGACGACGTGCCGAGTCGCAACGATCTGTTGGTCTTAGCATGTGGGGCCCCCGTTCATGGCTAAGTTGGTTTATATAACTCCTGCAACGACAATATGGTAACTAAACCAACTATAGTCAACTTATAGTTCCTTATATAGTTGTATCATAGTTGGTAACTATGGTTTACGAATGTTTATGATACTTGGAACTATCGTCAATGGGGGTTATAAATCAACTTAGCTATGTAGGGGGCCCCACATTGCACCGTGTTTTGCCATGAAAAGAAAGGGATTTAGCTGGGAGAACAGAAAACACGTCATGGAACCTATGATGATTCACCAACATTGGCCAGTAAAAGTTCCAGAATGCTGGGGGCTTTATACCACGTTCTTTTTACAGAAATGATGATTTTGCCATGAAACTTGATGACACACATGATTAAATGGGTTTGTTGTAGAAGAACGTAAGCCAAATGGCCGGTACAATGACCATCAGAAATGGTTGTGTTTGCCAATCAAACATTAGGATGGAACGAAGAAAATCATGAAGGGTTCACCTTCATTTGGGGGTGTTCGAGAATCAGGGATTTAGCAACCAAAATAGGCTATGTTCAGAGAGACAATGAGGTATTGAACAAAGGCCTTAGCTGCACACTCTGGGGATCAAGGCAGAGATTCCAAGGTCAGAGTCTTCCCAATAATGGGTGACAAACTGATACACTCATCACCCTCCTATCCGGAATCCCAGCGTGACTTGTGGGTTACCGATTCACCATGTTTTGGATGCTGAGATGTGTTCAGTGACCAAACATTATTTTACAACTTTGACATTTGCTTGAATATGCCAAAATGGATCGTTTTCAGCCGAACATGACCAGTATTGTGTTTTCCCCCCCAGAACCCACCCAAACCTCCCCAGCAACCTATCCCGCCAGGCATACCACGACCTCCTTCACGGGGACTACTACCACCTCCTTGAGTGCTACCTCCTCGAGTTCTACCACCGTGAGTTCTACCACCTCGATCACCACCACAGGCACCACCTACACCAGCACTACCACTAGCCTCAGCAGCACCACCACCTCAACCTTGTCCTCCACCTCCACTACCATGTCTGCGACAACGGCACTCTGGCAGAATTCAGAATTTTCTGGGGAGGGAGGATTGTACAAACATGGGTTCAAGATGTGACGAAACGGGAATTGAACCAAAGATGTCCCGGATTTACGCGTGCAAAATTGGAACTCGACCGACCAATGCGAAATATGGATGATGTCAAATGATGTGAAGCGCAGCTGTGCCAAAACAAACAACATGCTGTGAGGGTCCAGGTGGGTGCCTTCTTTTTCCTTGATGATAATTGATTGCTTGGTTCACGGAGACTCAAAGCAAGAGTCTTTGCGGTGATGCAGTGATACTGAGTGATACCTTATTATAGCTATACTATACCTATTATTTTAAGCGAAGCCATCGGATTCAAGAAACCTTGTGTCCCAGACTTGGGTGAAAGGGAAGAACCTACTGATACCTACTGTACAGGATCGCCCTGAAAGTTGCTGGGGAGAACCCCCCTTGGTTTTCTGCAGATGTTCCCTTGAGAATCCTTAAACCAATCCAATGAAACTCGTAAGTGAAGGCCGTTTTTTCTCTATCATTGATCAACAGTTTCACCCCCGACATTGTTCACTTTATTCATTCAGAGAAATTGGCAGCCAGAAGCTAAGCCTGGTGGGGTTATAAACTCACCTCTTCATGATTATCATCAGTGTGTATTCTCGTGATCATTCTCATCATGAGTATTCCATATTAATTATCAATGGGAATTTCAGGAACCTAAATCGAGGTACCTACAATATATAAGGCTTCTGTAATGCCTAGGTAAGGGAATATCCCCACAAATATTGCCTTATATGGTACAGTACCTCTATTTTAGGATCCTGAAATTCCCATTGATATTATCATTCCCTTGAGATCCAATCACCTTCTTTTCGGGTGGTGTTAAGGCCTACCCCGCCCAACTGCACCTCCGGTTTAACCATGTTCAGCCCCCCATGTGTCAAATTAAGCCTCGATTTCCCATGAATTTCCCATCTACTGAATGATTAATCCGTATTAATCCACTATAGTACTGAATTATATCTATATCATACTTATATATATATGATTTAATTTCATTTTGATATATGTTTTACATCCAGATATGTTAGAATTTGTTAGATTTCTAATAACTGTAGATCTATCATTTTAGGTGAGTGTTTTAATTTATCCTTATATATGTGTTCTCCAGTGACAACATGCTACTACAAGTATATTATATACCCACGATATCTCGTTTGTTCCAGTCATAGTCACTTCCATACTATTGAATGATGAATCCATAGTGACAACTATATTTATCATTTAGATTTTAATCTATTGAATTCGTTGTCCATTCACCAAAGCTAATGATGTTTTAATGGAATATCCATAACTATTCAATGATAATTGGATCATATTTTATCTATTATAGTTGTTCATTGGTATAAATTGTAGTTATCTAGAGACACTTGGTTATATCCGGATATTATCGGACCGGACTAATCAGTAACTGGAAAATACATCTGATAACTTATTGTAGCCTGGTTATACACATAGCACTTGAAGGATCATCCCACTAGCAGCCGGATGCCCAAAAGCGAATCCGGGACCTACGAACGAATCTATGGGGAAAGCTATAGGGAATCAGAAAACGATCTATTAATCTTCCAAGTACTTACTTGTATTGCTCCCATCAATATCTCATTTTCAAATAATCTATTTAAATCTCCATGAATATCCCATTCAAACCGATGAAATCCAATTAAATCACTACTAAATCACAGTAAATCCCATTAAAACCACAATTTTCCATGGATGGCTATTTATTTTGTTTTTTTTGGGTTCCTGGTTCTATGCTTTCCTGCTTTTCCTGCTTCTCTGCTTGTCTGCTTTTTGCTTTCCCTGCTTCTCTGCTTTTCCTGCTTCTCTGCTTTCTGTTTTTCCTGCTTCTTTGCTTTTCTGCTTCTCTGTTTTCCCTGCGTCTCTGCTTTTGTACTTTGGTGCCTTTCTACTTCTACTATTCTACTTTTTCTGTTCTTCAGTCATGTGTTTTTGCTGCTCTACTTCCTGCTCCTTTGCTTCTTTGCTTCCTGTCTTTACTGTCTCGTTGTTTTTATTTTCTTTAGCTTTATTCTATTCTGTTTGTATCCTAAACGAAACCCTAGAGAGACCCTAGGTGAAACCCAAAGAAACCCTAAAGAAATCCTGATCAGAAACCCTACATGAAACCCTAAATGAACCCTAAAAAAAACATAAATGAACCCTAAAGAAACCATAAATTAATCCTAAAGAAACCATAAATGAAACCCTAAATAAATTTTAAATGACACCCTAAATGACATCCCAAAGAAACCCTAAACAACACTCTGAAACAAGAAAAAAACTAGATGAAACCTTAACTGGCACCTTAGCTGAAACCCTAAATTGACACCCTAAGGAAAGCCTAAATGAAATCCTAAATGAAACCCTAAATTGAAACCATAAATGAAACCCTAAAGAAAACATAAATGAAACCCTAAAGAAACCTTAAAGAAACCCTAAATGACACCCTAAATGAAACCCTAAATGAAACCCTAAAGGAACCCACTTGAACGTTTAGAAATCGTGAAAAGAAATCCTGATAAGAAACCCTGGAATGAAACCCTAAAGAAAGATTAAATGAACTCCTGAATGAAACCTTAAATTGAAACCCTAAAGAAACCTCAAATGAAGAAACCCATTTGAACGTTTAGAACCCTGATAAGAAATCCCGATAAGAGACCCTACATGAAACCGGAAAAAAACCTTAAATGAAACTCTAAAAAACCCTAAATGACACCCTAAATAATAAAACCCCAAATGAAGCCCTAAATAAAAGCCTAAATGAAACCTGAAATGACATCCTAAATGAAAGCCTAAAGAACCCTCAAGAGACCC